ATGTGGGGCACACACACACACACACACACACACACACCCAGCATGATTTTCAAGCCACAACATCCAGGATGTGAACCGCACTCCTATGAAGCCACGTGAGAGTCCAGTGCCTTAACCACCACGCCACCTGCCGGTCCGTGCCCTGAGCTATTCTAAGTCCTCACAACAACCCCGTGGAGTGAAGACTACACTTATCACCATTTTCCAGATGAGCGAAAGACAGGCCCAGAGAAGTGAAGTTGCCCGCCAGCCAGCCACCCAGCCGGCCCGCAGCACGGCCAGGATTGGGACCCCGCAGGCTGGCTTCCCTAGCTTAACTGCTCTGCTCACGAGAGGAGGAGGGCAGGCAGGAGTGGGAAGAATTGGGTAGAGAGAAGGGAGCTGGGCTGGAAAGGAGAGAGACACAGCCAGGACGGCCAGAAACAGAGGGTGCACGCGGCCAGTGGCCGCCATACCTGTTGAGGAAGGTGTTCCCGAAGGGGTTGAGTTTGCGGAAGGGCTTGTCTGGATCAACCACAAGCGCGTTGCCAGGCACAGTGCCCTCAGTGTCGCCGTGCATGACTGCCACGAAGCAGTCGGTGGTGGGCTCCGGCCCCACACGGGAGCCTGGCACCTCCTGCTCCAGCAGGTACTGGATGAAGCTGGTCTTGCCCGTGCTGTACTGTCCGGCCACCAGCACCATGGGCTTGCCGTCGAAGTCAGCATCCTCCAGGGCTGGCGAGTGGAAGGCCCCGAAGCGGTAGTGCTCCTCGAGGGGCAGCAGCTTCGTGCGGTACAGCTCCTTGAGGGCCGAGGTCACCGTGCGGATGGCCTCGGGCTGCTGGCCCCGTGCCCCACCCCGTTTCAGCCAGCTGAACATGGCGTCCGTGCGCTGCCCACTGGGCTTGCTGGGAGAGATGCACAGGTGGAGGGTCGCCTGTGGAAGGAGGAGACGGCATTGACGGGGACTGCCTGGTGGAGGAGGAAAACTGGAGGTAGAATGTCTAGGTAGTGGGGTGGGTGGAGGAGGAACAGGGCGCACGGACGGTGGGTCCCAAGACAAAGAGGGCTATAGCAAAGCTGGAGGAAGAAGGAGACTTAGGGTGGTGGCTGAAGACGGGCAGTTGACGAGGGAAGGTCAAGAGAGGGACAGACAGGAGGGTGCAGAAGCTGCCTAGAGAAACGTATTCCTGGGACCAGCAGTTAGCGTAACGGCTATGTCGCTGGACTCCCACGTAGTCGACCGTGGTTCGAGTCCCGGACCTGGTGGCTTAAACTCACACCGGGCGCATGTGCGTGTGTGCCCAAGATCCCGAGAGGAGAATGGAGGAGAAGGGATTGCGGCGTGGCCATCCCCCCTGGGGGGTGATTTCTCGCTTTCTGTCTCTCTGTATCTCTCTGCCTGTCTGGTGAGCGCACGCGCCCTATAGCAAAAACCTCTCCAAAAATAAATGAGAAGCGTATTCCTTAATCCCTCCATTATTTTCTTCCTCCCTTCTCCTTCCCATCCTTTGACATATGTTCACTGACATCACTCACTCACTCCACGTTTCAGAAGCTATGGACCCAGAGCCCCCAGTGAGGACCTGGGCACCAAGCCGTGACCGATGCCTGGGAAGCACCCGGCATCCAGAGCAGGGCTGCTACGCCAATCACAGGGTCAGCAAAGGCCAGAGGAGGCTGACTTTTGAGCCGCTCTGTGAAGAGCAGGCAAGACGAGTACTTAGGCAGGAAGGATGGTGTGTGCCAAGGCCTGGGGGTGTGGCATGTCCTGGGGTGCTGGGAGTTGGGAAATGTCTGGGTGCAGTGGCTGGACATGAGGACGAAAGCGAAATGAGGCTGAGGAGGTCGCCCAGATGCACCTAGGTCATGGCCTTGGATGTCATGAACAAGAATAACAACCAACATTTAGAATCGCTGCATGCCAAACACGTGTTAACTCCTTTCATCTTCATAACCTCCATTTCCGACAAGACGATGGAGACTCAGGGAGAGAGCAAAAACTTCCCAAGATCACTTAGCTAGAAAGTGCCCGAGCTGGGACTCAGACCTGGGGAACCTGTCCACAGAGCATGTCCTCCGACCATAGGTCTAAGTAACCGAGTTAGGGAGACAGACAATTACAGCCCGGCAGCAAAGAGCACCCCAGCACCCAGACTGTGTTCTCTATCGTCCCTGACTCTCTATTCACTGTAGGATCTGTAGTGATGTTCCCTCTTTCATTCCTGATGGAATGATGGCGTGTCTTCGCTCTTTTTTTGTTTTCGCTGTTATCCTGACCAGTCGAAGCAGATGCTTATAATTTTACTTCTCTTTTCAAAGAACCAGCTTTTGGTCAGATCAGCATCTGTAAATACTGTTCCACACTGAAAGAATGCAGGGCTCCCTGGAGAAATGGCTGTTCCCAGGGCAGAGGCAGAGAAAGAATAAGTGAGCCTGGATCCGATAGTGGAGATGTGTTTAAAGATCCATGAGGCACGTCACACTGGCCAAACATGGGGCAATTTGAGCATCAAAATATGTTAAAATCCATCATGACAAACTTTAAAAGAGGAGGGGGAGGAGGTAACGGAAAAGGGAAGGAGAGGCAGGAAGGGTAAGGGACAGGCAGGAGAGGGGTCCTGGGATATGCGGAGAGGGAAGGGGCCCTGGGTGGTGTCCCAGGCAGGGAGGGGTATGAGAGAAATCTCAGGAAGGATGCTGAGGGGGTGACAGGAGCTGACCAGGCAGGAGAGGAGCTCTTGGGTGGCAGGAGGGACCAAGTAAGACAGAGATGGATGATGGCATGCAGGGAGACCCCAAGGAGGGGTCTCCTCTAGCAGAGAGGATGGGGCGAGTGTGTGAGAGGGATTGGGGAGTCTGGGGGTGTGGGAGAGACAGGGAGGAACTGGAGGAAGAGAGGGGACACTGAGGAAGTGGTGGCCACTGTTACAGACTGGGAGGGCCTGGGGGACACCAGTGGGCAGAGGTTACAGACGGAGATTTCTGCAGCAGGGGAGTCATCCGAGCCTGGGCAGGCTGGGGGCTTGCGCAGGCTCAGGAAGGACTGCCACGGTCCTGGAAGCACTCACCGACTGACGACCAGGAGCGCTGGCGACCGGACCCGGCAGGCGGCGGGCTGGGCGGGGGTCCCGCGGGGTTCCGAGGAGCCCGCAGAGCGGCCTGTGCTCGCGGTCCCAGTCTGGAACACTCTGAGCCAGAGCCGGGTGGGGCCGGG